CTTCATTTTCTAAACCAAGTTGTATGAGTTTTAGAATTTCACATTACAGGTAGCCTTAAGATACCAGGATGATCTTGAATATCTTTTTTTATTTTTTAACAATTTCCTTCTTACCATTTCACTTGTTCAGTAAAGTACCATTCATCAGAGGTCCCTTGATTTGTTCCATAGCAGGTAATTTATAGTAGTGATAAAATAGAATAAGTTCTGCTAAACCAAGCGTTAGGAGGGAAGTATGAGTATTGAAATATTAATCTTTTTAACCTCCACAAAATAGCCTTGACCCCTCCTCCAGTCTGTTTCCTTGAGTCATCTAGAGAAACAAAGCTACTCAAGAGAACATAAAACATACCTTTCAAAATATTCCCGAGAGTCCTTGTAAACTTTTTTTTTTTAATGAAAAGGTAAATATGCCTGTGTTGGTTATTCTCTTTACAGCTTAATGGTTTATTGGTTCATTTGAGAGCTGTTGTCATCATGAGGGACTGTTAGTACATCAGCCTGTTTGCTGAGTCCAGCAAAGTAGGACATTTTGCTTACCTTCTTTCTTTTGTTCCCAAAGCTAATTGCTGTGCATTTAACAAAAGCCCCTGTTAATAACAATGAAAGGTCCTCATTTGAATAAACAAACTCTTATTCTGAAACCACAAGCAATATTCACTCTATTGATTCTTTATAAGCTACTTACATAATTGTAGCTATAAGCTACTTACATAATTGTTTGAGTGTAGTATCTTGGATATTTCCCCTTATGCATATTTTTGAGAGAAACCAGATGGTCCCCATTCTTTGTTTCTGATGCAGTCTCATTTGAGTTGTGCCCAGACGAGGTTTTCCTTTCAGTTACTCTACCATAAGAACAAATGCAGCGAAAAACTCTACTTTCACTACTTTTTTAGTAGTTTGGCCTATTTTAACCTTATCTCTTTACTGACAACTTTTTTGGAGAATTCTGTTTCCTTACTTCACCTTTTATTTGCTTTTGAAATTCTGGGCATAATTATTTTAATGTATTTTTACTTCAGTTTTCTAGACAGTCTAATTTTATTAGTGCATATAAATTAATGAATTAAAATGATTTCTGTAAAGCCTGGATTGGTGACTCATGCCTGTAATTTCAGGTATTCTGGAGGCTGAGGCAGGAGGGTTTCAAGTTCGAGCCCAGCTGGGTAATTTAGCTAGACCCCTGTCTCAAAATGAAAAGGGTTGAGGATGAAGCTTAGTGATAGAGCACCCTTGAGTCTCAATCCCCCTACCCCCCAAAAAGATTTATAAAAGCGTGCATTTTTGTAAGAGTTTGGGTGTGATTTGGCCTGATTTACAGTCTATATTAGAAAAATATGAATTACTCTCATTACAAACTCATGACTTTAACGCTCTCTGAACTAATCTGCCCTTGATGTTTTAAATTTGTTTATTATGGGGGAGGTGACTTCCTATTTTTTAAGGGAAAATTCTTGGAAAAATTAGAGATATTAGTGCTTTACATTTAGAAAAATTTTATGTAAATAAAAGACATGTATTGATATACCACCTAAAATAAAAATTTTTCAAGCCAGATGTGTTGATGTACATTTGTAACCCCAGCACTCATAAGGCTGAGGCAGGAGGATTGCAGGGAGTTAGAAGCCAGCCTGGTCTACACAGTGAGTTCAGTTTGAGGCCAGCCTGAACTACTTGGCAAGACCCTGTGTCAAACAAAACAACGTTTTAAAATTCAACTAAAAAATAATAATTGCCAGATGAATTATATAACACCGATTCAGAAGACAGAAGCTGAGAAGTCAATAACCTAATCTCATAAATATTACCTGTTATTTAAACTTCACCTAAAGTCTAATGGAAAATTATTTTTAGTTAAGAGTACTGAATTGTAATAAAGTATTTAATACATCCCCACTTAGCATTAAGGTTTCTATTTTTTTTAATTTTTAAAATTTGTATTAGTACATGTTTCCAGTACATAATGATTACATTTGTTGTGGAGCGTGGGTCCATGTACATACTACTTCTGTTTACTTCCTTTCCCCTCCTGGGCAAGTAATCTTAGTAATTGATGTCTGTCTGTCTGTCTGTCTGTCTCGTGCTCTCTCTCTCTCTCTCTCTCTCTCATCTCTGTCTTCTCTTTCTTTTGTGGCAATCCCTATTAACCTGGCTCTTACGTGATAATATATAAGCATGTGCTGAACCAGGGCCATCAGCACTAAGCTACTATGTTCCCAGCCTCCCCCCACTTTTTCTTTTTTTTTTTAAAAGCCTCTTGCTAAGTCAATTAGTTGGGCTTTAAGTTTTGATCCACCTGCCTCAGCCTTCCAAGATTACAGTGTGAGACTAGAATTGATTTTCTTAGAAATAGCTGTCAAGGAAATCTGGTGAATAAGTGATTTTCATCTTAATTATTTGTTTCCTTTACCCACACTATCTCCTTTAAAATTCATATATTAGATGGTTCATTTATACAAAGATGCTTTATGCAAAAAATATGTTTAAAAAACGTGGAGGCTATTGCTCAGGGAGCCTGGCTTAAGTGATAACATACAAGCATGTACTGTCCAAACATTTCTTCTTAGAAACTTTTGAAAATATTGATAATGCTGGTCCACAGTCTAAACGGGGAAATTAAATTATATGTATAATTTTAGTAACTGAAAGGAAATTAGTTCAATACTACTTAATATCTTACCAACTTATTTGGCATTTGTTATTGCCAAATATATTTGTTGATTATTTTGTATGTAGTTAAGCATATTTTTTTCTGATATGCAGATTTTGATTACATGTATCTTAAAGATAGATGAAAAGGAATAGTATAGTCAATTTTATTCTATTTTATTCTATTCTTAGGAAAGAAAAAGTCCAAAAATATGTTGATTTTAAGTGCTGAGCACATGGCCAACGATAGCCCAGTTGACCTTTTTAGGGATGGTAAAACAAATGAAGAGACAAAAACTGAGAAACCTTAAAAAACCTAAATTGACCAATTCATGTAAGCATCCTCTAGAAAGAGATAGTGTTCTAGCAGTAGCCTATGGGACAATAAACCAGCAACACCTGAGTTTCTCTTGTTATATGAAAGGATGTTCACTTTCTAAATCTCTTCCAGCTAAGCTTGAGGGCATCAGAAACTAAACTGAAGCTGATAATTCACAGAATTGAGATGTGCTGTGCTAAATATACGCCCTCTCTTCTTGAGAATGCTTATGATTCACAGCTAATGTTTTCATTGATAAGAAGAGATGAATGAGTGGTCCTTAAGGTAATCTGTATACAAAGTCAGGTTTCTTGAACTGGTTTTAGATTTTTCAAAAACCCTTTTAGGGGCCGGGGATTTAGCTCAGTGGTTCTGCCACCTGCCTTGCAAGCACCAGGTCCCGAGTTCAATCCCCGGTACCCCCCCAAAAAACCCTTTTAGAACCTGTATTTTGAAGTAGACAACCGGTTTATTCCGTTTTTGTTAAAAACAAATACTTTGCCCTATCATACTGAATTTTTGTTTGTGACCCACTTTGAGAATATTAAAATAATCTTGCATTTGCTTCTCATGCTCTAATTTGTTCAAATTACCTCTTTGAAATGTAAAAGTATGTATCATTTGTTTGATTTAAAACTACTGTTTTTCTTTTTTATGCAAGTATTATCATCTGCTTTAAGAGTACTTATTTTTCTGATTCATGACTCTTTTATGACATACCCTGAACAGAACTTACATATCTGTCCATCCATATGCTTGTCTGTTTATCTAGGGGATTTATTAGTTCTTTAAATTATAAAATCCATTGTTTATCAGTACACACATATTTGAGAAGTTTTAGATTGCATTTTTGAAGGGTGATAGATTTGTGGGAAAATGAGTGAAAACTGTCATTCTGAAACTCCAGAATTACTCTTATTTCTACAAAGTGCAGAAACTTGAGAGTCTGAAAGGAAAAACAAGGATTCCTGATAGCCACCGTTTTCTCAAGCGTCATGTTAGGGGAACAGATTCATAGTTTGCCCTGTGTGCCCAAAGCCTGTGGGCTCTGCTCCTCTGGAGCTCCTAGCTGAACCAGCAGACGACTCAGGGCAGCAGTGGAGGAGTCTCTTCTCAGTGCAGGATGCAGTTAATTTACAGCCCAGCTATCTAGAGGTTAAAAACCATGATTTTCTAGCGTGTTTTCCCTCAAAGCCAGATAAGTTTACTTTCTTAAGCATAAAAATAAGCAATATATCTTTTCAATAAATCTGCTAGCACTGTAGGGCAGCTGCTAACCAAACAGAGCTGGATAGGGTTACTGGAAGGGGCTTGAAGGGCAGAGCTGGTGACTCGGAATCTGGGGATCTGGGAAGAATTTGCTTTAGCTTATATTCAGTACATTCCTTGCTTTCTTCAGATGTGGGGAAGTATTTTAAGTGCCATTACTCTGAATTTAAAATAAAGCAGAAAATCTTATCACCTCTTTCTAAACAATGCCACTTTAAGTGAAACAAAATTAGCAAGCATCTAGAACTGAACACCTTGATGCTTCCATACCTAAGTTAGGGTGAATGTCTATAGGGTGGGGCCTTTCACCTCTAAACTGCATGTCTCCTGTTTTGCAAACTGCATGCTTAAAGTTATTGATTATTTTACTCAGTGCAGATGATTTAGTATGTTGCATAGAAAAAAAGCAATTTTGTTTTCTTTCTAAAATATATCTCTCTGTTGAACATTAACATTTGCTTTTATTTCAGCTCGATTTGTACTCTAATAATGGCTAATTGTTATGTTCTAAGCACTTGTTTCTCTTGTATCCTTTAATTAATAGAGAAGCATATTATAATAGCTTTTTCTTTAAAAAAAAAGTCAAGGAATTTTGCTTTTCAGAGTAAGATTTTCTTTTGCTTTTATTTGTTTTTTTAAGTTGCCTCTTGGGAAAGTAAGGTTAATGCCATATACAGTACTAGTTTGCATGTGTTCATTTAAATACTAAAAACTGCAGTACTGCTCGATCCATATCTGACTGCTAGGTTTCAATTGACAGCTGAGGATTTGTGACTGGACCGTGAATCAAAACGGCAGGCATTTATACCCCAGTACCAGTGAGGATACATTGGGAATTACTTGGCAAAGGTAACATTTTAATTATTTCCAACCCTACACTTACATCGAAAAATTACATGACCTATAGTGTTTGTTTTAAATAGTTTTACAGAAAATATTTGTTAAAAACTTAGTTGTCTTGGCTGTACCATCCCTGTTCCCCTACCCCTCTTCTTTATTTCTTATTTAAGTGCAACATCACATTAATTTGGGACCAGAGCTAACTGATGATTGGAATTTCTAAATACTGTCAAATGTTTGATACAATTTATATTCTTGGTGTGGGAATAGGGGTGGAATTAGAAAGTTAGATTTTAGGACCTAAAAAATGAAATTGCAGATTTAGGGAAGATTTTTTTTCAGCAATCTATTAAAGCATTGGCTTTTCACAATATATATTCTTCTCATTTTGCTTCTTTCCTCTCCTGCTAACTCTAAGCCATTTTGCTATTCACTTATTCATCTATCAGGGAGAAAACACTTGAAAAAAAGTGAAGTTAGTCTGTTTAGCTGTTAACAGGCAGCACCTCTAAATACTGGAGTGGGATGATGGTTAGAATCGATAGCTAAGGAAGGACCCTACTTTAAAGAGACATTTAATTTCTGGTTGTATACTGATGTGACCCATAGAGGATTGCCATTATTTGGTTGATTAAAAAGTCATTCTAAAACTTCATTTTCAAAAGCAGTTTGATACTGACTCATGTATTAGTTTTAAAAAATAAGTAGTTCTGAAGTAGCTTCTTATGTATTATTTTAATAAAGAACAATTGTGTCAGATTGATAATCAAAATTAATGATATAATCATATGTAATAGATAAAAATTTGCAAAAGAGAGTAAGGTAATCCCTTGAGTTTAACAACAGTAGAACCAGCATAATGTTCCAGCCCCACTGTGATTGTAATCCTTCCTTTACAGAAAGTACCTGTGCTGAGTGGGAGAGCGGCAAGGGCTACTTGTCTCCACGTTGGTTGATAGAAACTGGGGAAGAATAAAGTTTGCAAAATTTTAATCAGGACAAATTTTAAGAAAATTATTCAGATTGTTTTAAAAAATTCAATAAGTTATTTTAATACTTAAATGATTCCATTATGACTTTTATTCCTTTAAAGATTAATTTATCAGCTTTAAAAATAAATACATTTTCACCTATTGTGATTTTTTTCCCCCAAGAAGTATGTATTAGTCCTCTTTTGGAAGAAAAATGCAATGTATACTTACAAAAATAAGATAAACTTACTGGAAGTATCTTCTTTAAATAGTATAAGGGTTAATAGTATTAATGAAATTCAGTGAAAGTATCTTATTTAAAAAGTCTGAATTAATAAGCCTTTAAAAGTTAATTTAGTTGAATTTGATAATACAGTGTTTGCATTTTATTTTATTAAATAACTTTCCTGTATTTGAGGCCCCACCTATCTGCAAAATGGCTCATGTGTGTGTATAAGCTTGCCATATTTTTTAGAATTGCAAATCAGATGAAATGTACCAATGATTTTAAATGTGCCTCTAACTGTCTGATGTGTTGATTACTGATTGGCATTTTCTCTGAAATAAGATAGCACCTGTAAAGTACATTAAAAACCAATAAGATGTAAATTATTGGTAATTTAAGGTACAGCTAGTAATTTTTTAATCAAAAAGTGATACCTCTTAAGAGGAGAAAGTGAATGGACAGTGTATCACAGAACACATATTCAAATGAGTGAATATGATTAAACTCAGTTCTTAGGGTAATATTGTTCATGCTACAAATCCCCTTCTTCGCAAAAATTGGGATAATCAGTTTAGGGTCTTAGTCAAAAACAATTCAGAATTTATTAAATTACCTTTTCTACTCCCTCTCAGAAATAGTATTTTTTTAATTAGTAAATGAGACAGTGTAGAATGGCCCTAATGATCCATAAAGCTCTTACAAAGGTAGCGTTGGGTTTGTTTCTTCCCTTTTAATCATGACTCAGAAAGCACATAATTGATGATGGCAGGTGTCTCGCTTGTGCATTCTGCAGGTATTTATGAAGTCTCTGTGTTGGGGTATGCCGACTGCTGTGGTGGACACAGAAACACACAGTTCTAAAATTTAACTATCACAGTTCAGAACAAATATAGTCAAATAAGACAGCAATTTGCTTTGCTTTGTTTCCATTTTCAAAACGGACACGAATCCATGTTGTATAACACAAATAAGCCAGGTCTCTGGCACAGTGGCTCTATGCATAATTTATACTTTGTGCCCTGTAGTTATTTTTAAAACTTAATGGGTTTTTCTGTACATGTTATATTGAAAAAGGAAATCATTACTGTCTGTAACACTACCACTTTTAAGAGAAACCATAGCAATCTAACGTCTTCAAGCACATGACTTACAGCTCCAGAGTCATCTCACTGAGTTGAAAATATCTGCAACATGTAGATCTGTCAGCCAGAGAATTAAAATTTACTTTCAGCATGACAGAATAAAGAAAATATCACAGGTGACTATTATTGTGTCTATTATTTTTTGTTTTTAACAAAAGGCAATCCCTGGAGACTTGATAGGTAAAAAGGACCAAGCTGAGTGGGTGTTTTGGTTGGCTCTATTTTGGTTGGATTGTTTGTTGTTCATTGCTATTTCACTTATCTGTGGCTGTCTCCTCTTCTGATTTGGGCCATGTCTGATTTGGGCTCCATTTGGAGGGGAAAGTGGCAGGGCCCAGGAAGGTGAGCAAGCACTGTAGTCAAAGGCAAGTCCCCCCATCTTCCCACTGTACTTCAGCATGGGAACATTTCCTGAGGAACCAGAGCTGACACTGGGGGAAGTGTTCACTGACTGCAGGGCTGCATCCCTGACAGTGTTTTGTTGCTTTGACCTTAGGGTTTTGTGGGCCATCTTCCTGTGTGCCTTTGTGTGTGTGTTTGCATGTGCTCTTGTGCTCCTGGTCGGGGGAGCTGTTGCTCTGTGAGAAAATGAAGGGATCTGCCTACGAGAAAGGTCAGTTACTCGAGTTAATGCAGTGTGTTTGATGAAGACCTCACCTCTGCTTCAGTGAGGATGGGCTCAGCTTGCGGGTGAGGAGCAGGTGACAGATTGCTAAAACTAGGTACCGTCTGTGCTTTGTCCTGTTGCGTGGACAAGTTATGTTGTTTTTGCATATGTGAGTTCTGTGGGTATAAACACATAAGGCAGTTACTCCTTAACTGGCTTTTTTTCTTGAAACTATACCCAAAACCTTGCTGGTTCTATCAAATATGAAAGAGCAATGTAATTGAATGAAAAAGAAAGCTGGAGGACAGTCCAAGAATAATATAAACATAAGTTATTTTAAAACATTGGAGTGAATGCTTTATGCAAAGAGAAACTGGATTTATTGTTTCATTCTCTCTTCTCCCCCTTCACCCCTTTCAGGAAAATGCAAAGCCACAAACGAGTGGCTGTATGTGTCTGATGGCTTATATAAACATAGAAGAAGCCTTCAGATGGCTAAAATAAACATGCGCGTGTTACTGAAGGATATGTTTACACAAACCATTTGCTCAGCCTCTGAAATAATGAATAAATGAAGATTTTACTGAAATAATTGGAAGGATTTTTGTGTTTCTGCTGATGCCATAATTGAATGGCACCAAAGAGACTTTTATCAGCTATTTTCCATGTTACATGTGTTAGCAGTTCCTTTCTGTGAGTTGAATACTTCATTCTGTAGTTACTTTACACATGTTTTTGTAAGAAATTGTCGTTTATTACTGCAATTCTAGAGAGTTTCTTGATTTCCCAAGAGAAATTTAGCAGCCAGTAAAGGTTATTTGGATCTGGCTGGTCAGGAGAGGGAGGGCAGAAAGCAAGAGGTAACAGCATTTATTTCATGCATAGAACTATTTGCATAACACTGACCTCAACCATTTACCGTTTCCTTTGCTTTGTTCATAGCACTTTCTTTGTAAAATGGAAGCTCTCAAAAGATTTTATGATGAATAGTTAAAAATAATTTTCAGTTTGGGTTGCAGACAGTACGTTGGTATGCACATATATTTGTTTGTGTGCATCCACACATAGGTGCCATGTATGTGATAAGGCCAGTGCATACCCTGTCCTTAGATAGAATTAAGAGTTAACTTTTATTTCAACCTTAGAGTCAGACCATCCCTGTGAATTCACTAGGTTAGCGTTTCCTGCTCTGGGTTTGTTATCTTGACACATAACTACAGTACAACAGCTGGGTTGTTGCTGGAGTTCCTGGGGGGAGCTTTATTCTCAGAGTGCTGAATTTCCTTTTCAGCTGTTAGCTCTAAAGTGTGTTCAGAATGTTCAACTTTTTATACATCATCCTGGATCCTAGCACCACTCTGGGACCATGATAGAAATGCTGATAAGAGAGATAAATGGAAGAATCTTTGGTTCAAGACATAATTGCAAAAGCCAGAATTGTACATAACCATTGTTTGATGAAAGAGCTGCTGAGCAGTGTTGCTCTTTGTACTTGAACATTCGCATGAACAGAATGACTCTCCATTCTCATAAAAATCATTTGCACCTGTTATAAAATAAAAACTAGAAACGTTACCATTCTAAAAAAATGATCTTGATATGTCTTTCAGACACACAATATCTCTGATTTGGCTGTGGAAAATTTATTGGGATCTGTTGTAGTTTTTGCCTAACTTTGCTCATTTATAAAGAAAGGTTTGTACAACATGTCATTTCCTTTTTATCTAGGCAAACTCTTCAGAACACTTCCTAAGAAATTAATTGTATTTCAGCCAGACTTGCACGCTGCCATCCCACAGGAAATGGGTCAGCAATCCATTAAGATGCCATTAGATAATCTAATTTGGAACTTAATCTCTAAATTAACCATGCTCCATACTTGAAGCATACTTGAGAGAAAGAAAAAAAGTTTACGTTTGAATCGATAGGGGAGCCGAAGCGTGAAGAAGGCTGTTTGTTTTTTCTGTAGCTGTGGTCACGTCTCAAGCCGTCTGGTAACCAGGAGAAACCAGACATGATGTAATTCCAGATTGAACTTGAACTTCAGGGACTTAGGATGGGGA